AAGTGAGTCATCTCTAAATTTAACCATTTGGCTACAGTTATTAAGCGAATCAGTAGAATTGTTAAGTGAATCATATGGTTGTTAAGCAAAGTCCAGCTTCTCCCACTGACTTCGCTTGCCAGACGCCAGCTGGGGAGGTTTGCAAATGGGCGATCACATGACCCCGGGTCCCTGCAAACTGTTGTAAATATATGCCAGTTGCCAAGCACCCAAATTTTGATCACCTGGGGATGCTGCAACAGTGGTTAAGTGCAAGGACTAGTCGCAAGCCTTTTTTTTTTTCAGCGCCATTATAACTCTGAATGGTTGTTAAACGAATGGTTGTAAGTCGGGGACTATTTATATTCAGAAAAGAGGCAGAGAAGAGCCTGCTATCCTTTTCCCAACTTCTGTTCCAAGAGGTTTTGTGTGTGTGTGTGTGTCTGTGTCTGTGTGTGTGCGCGTGCGTGCGTGCAGAGGAAGATAAATAAGCATGAATTCCATGCTACTTTTCCTGTTCTCTCCTTTCCAAGTGTGTGCTAAAAAGATCCCTGATCTCCCGGGCCTGTGGATTGGACATGTACATCAGCTGTCGTTCTGGCTGCTGGTAAGATCTTGACACAGACCTCACCACCTCTTCCCACCCTTCCTGAAGAGGTTCCCCTTTGCTCTCACAGATGTTGTGCAAAATGCAGCAGGCTACAATGACCCTCGGGGCGTAGCGTTCTCGCACATCGAGGCGAGAGAGGAGGCAGCGCCAGCGGCCCCTGAGCCGCTCAAAGGCATGGCCCACCACTGTCCGGCAGTGCCCAAGCCTGTTGTTGAAGAGCTGTTTTCGGGAGTCCAACTGGCCGCTGTAAGGAGTCATTAGCCACGGCAGAAGAGGGTAAGCGAGGTCTCCTAAGATGACCGGCTTTACTTGCTCTCCCTCTATGTCCATCGTAGTGCTAGGACCGAAAGTGCCTTGGTTCATGGCCCGGAAGATGGGGGAGCTGCGGAAGATCCTGGCATCGTGAACTTTCCCGGATCGCCCGGCATATACATCGATGAATTTGCCTTCATGGTCCACCAGGGCCTGCAGGACCATTGAGTAATACCCTCGGCTGTTGATGTATTCCATGGCTCGGTGGGCAGGAGCAATGATAGGGATGTGAGTTGCATCGATCGCCCCAATGCAATGAGGGAAACCTTTGGCCGAAAAGCCTTTGATCACCTCGCGGGGCCTGGTCAGAAGGACCACATGGTGATAGACATCATAAAGAGCTTGGCAAACCTCCATGACTATCCTGGAGACAGTGGAGCGCCCAACGCCAAAACACTCTGCTACCGAGCGGTAGCTGTCTGGGGTGGCCAGCTTCCATATGGCTATGGCCAGCTGTTTCTCGACAGTAATGGGAGCCCGCATGTTGGTTGTCTGACGCTCAAGAACCGGCCTCAATCGGTCACACAGCTCCATGAAAGTCTGCCGACTCATCCGGAAGTTCTCCTGCCAAAGGTGGTCATCCCAGTGGGGCAGCACCACCTTTTCCCACCACTCGGAGCGGCCCGGCTGCACCCAGAAAGCTCTCTCCATGATGTAGAGTTCATCTATCAGCCCAGCAAGGACCGCCGGGGACTGGAAGAGGCACGAACACATCATGGCGCGCAAAGAGTCAATGCTGGTTTCCACCACCGCTCGGAGGCGTACGGCAGCCGCATTCTCCACCATTTGCTCGAGCTCCAGGAGGTCACGACGATGGCGGGGCAGAAATGTCCGGCGGGTGGCCAAACGGCTGAAAAGTTGTGACTGGATCCCAACAACGGTCTTGACAGCAGCTACAGCAGCTGTGGCCACCGTGACGGCCACAGAGGCCACTTTGTCACCGGCAACAGTCACTTCTGAAAGTCAGAGGAGAAACAGGAGGAAACTTTTTTAGACAACAAAGATCAGGACATCTAACTGAAAAACTCTCCAAATTCTCAACCAGCACTTCAGCTGATCCTTTTAACCCTCTACCACACCAAACAAGAACTTTGTGGTTCAGCCAACAGAAAACAGTGGCATTCAAGAAGCTTCTTCATCTCTGACTGGAAGGAGAATAGAAGGATTTATACTCCTTGCAGACAGCTGCTCATTTGCATCCTTTTGGAGGGTCTCTGAAGCACTTGGAGGTTAATCTGTGTCCTTAGGGTCACCCGAGTAATGCAAATGGTTCCTGTAGTCTGCAATTTTTTTGGGGGAAATCCATTCCTACTCCCTCACCATTCAAAGGGTGTTCATCCCAAATTGTCAGAGC